GCATGGTCGCACCGACTCACCTGGTGCGTTCCAGCCAGGATTCAAAAACTGTGCTGGACTAGGAGGGAGGTGAAACATTCCTCTTCGCAAAGTGTTACCACTTCACCACCCGTCATTGTGCTTTTGGTTCAGCCTGGAATACATCTACGGTGTGTCTGCCTTTCAAGACAAAATGCACCTTTCTTTTCTGTTTCTCCCGTAGGCAGTTTCCATCTATTCCTTTGTGGCGGCTTCTTAGCCGACCTTTTGCAGGTTTTCTGCGACAGCAGTAACTATATTACAGATAATCGCTTTCAGGATTTTCTCGATCGGGCAAGGAGATTTGAAGGTATTATTCAGCTTACACTGCATGAATATGTCTTAAATCCGTACGAGTTAAATATCATCTCATTGCTAAACGATAGGCTCATGGAAGTTGAACGCTGCTTCGTAAATCCGCGTGGAATGCCTGAACAACCTTCGCAACGGCACATGCTGTTTAGCGTTAATAGTAGCGATGAATATTCTTCCAAAGTTATGGGCAGTGTTCATAATGCTGTACGTTTTTTAGAATTTCAAATTGAACTTAAAGTTTAAAATCGAAACAGTATGTGAGACCTAGGGGTGCGCGGAATTTGAGTGTAAAATATTCGCACTAGCAAATGGTCAGAAAATATTCTCCTGCAATTTCAGCATGTCTTGTGTAGTCCAGAAATTGCGCGTACCCGTTTGTGAAATGCAAGTTATGTACGAAAGCCCAGTCTAAAATTTTTGGTCTCGTACATCGGCACGCAAAAACCCCCTTAATTATGCGCTTTTGCAGTGCAGCGCTGAAGCGCTGCAGCAAACAGCAAACCCATGCTGAAGTCCGCCAGGCTTGCCGATGCGATCGTGCGTTTTTGCATCAGGTTTGAAGTACTCAGGTCGTTAACTGCATGAATGTTGATACTTTAAAACTGTCTTTTGCACTCACTAGCGTAATTCATCGTAAATTTTGCATAAAGAAAAATAAACGATTTTTTTAGTGGCCGATCCTTGAAAATGACCTAACTGCCCAATGAGCAATTTTCCTGCCAAAAATTAAAGTACACGCACATGAGAACCACGCACGCCTGGAAGCTGAATTTGCAATCTTTAACTTGTACTTGGGCAGGGAACCATACCCTATAATTTCAGTTTCTAATTTTCCTGGTTGCTAAGTTAGCAATTTTCCCGATAAAACTTTCACGTGCCCGTACGTGAAAACAATACACCTAGCAGTTGAATTCAAGATCTTCAGCTAACACATTCACATAAAATATCCAATGCAAAGTTTTAACTCTCTATCTTGACCGGTTCCCGAGACTGCTTTCCTGACAAAAAATTTGTATATTTTTTTAAGACGTCCGTACATGAGACTCAGGTGTGCGCAGATGATGATATTAAAACGGGAAGGTCCACACTGGTTCTCAAGTTGAAGGTGGGTGACAAAAAGTGAACACACACATAAATAGTCGCTTGTCAGCATGTGTTTTAACATTTGCATATCTGCAAAAACATATATTGTGGCGACCCTATGTGTGTGTGTGTGTGCACGCGTTCGATTGTTCGAATATTTCTATTCGAGAACCAGACAAGCTTTGGTGCCGAAATTTTGCCAGCTTGCTTCTTGGCCAACTACAACACCAAGAATATGATACCAAATTTCATTCACGTCTGTGTCTTACTTGCAGACACGTGAAGATTTAGTCATTAATCTTAATAACTCGGGAACCAGAAAAGCCAGAAAGCTGAAGGTGTACGTCCTCCACCTATGTACAATCAATAGCTTTCAAATTCAGCTTCCTGCTTGAGCCTCACTATGAAATAACTTGGGTAGTAGCGAAGCTAGAAAGTTGATTTCTTAATGACATGTTCCCCGCTCAGTACAAATAAAAAAATCAAATTCAACTCCTTAGTAAACTTGGACTCGAAGGACGATCGGTCACAGAATAAAGTTACGGTAAACATGTGTGCTGGAGGTTAAAATTTCATGCAGTCACGTGTTGCATAACTACCGCCTGAGCCAATGCCCTTCTTCTTTGCATGCAAGAAAAGGTCAAATTGTGTTAAATTGTAAAGCAGTCACCGGCATGTTAAGCTCTAAAGTCACAGCTTTTCACGCTGTTGATTTTCA